CGGGAGCGGGCCAGGCTTCCCCTCCCCACCCCGCCAGGGGGAGGAGGCCGCGGGGGCTGAGCCACCCCCGACCACGTGGCGGAGGACGGGAAGGTGGGACGAGCTACCAGACGGGGTGCGGGACGGTGCCCCCTCTTGGGCCTGGGGGCACGCGGAGGCCGTGCCCGCAAGCTGGACGCCGTCGGGGAGGCGGGTGGACATAGAGACTGGACTGCCCATCGGCTTTCTCACCCGCGGGTCGGGGAGGTGGGCGTTCCAACTGCGCCATCCACCTGGCCCGGGGCTGGGCCGATGGACTCTGCCAGGTGTGAGAGGGATATCACTTCACACCTGGCTGCCAGGTGCGCATGCCAGGGCTGCTGGGAAGGGCTTGAGGCTGTCCCCTGTCTCTCCTGGGAGAGGTTACATCACCTGACTCCCCAAAGGGAGGGGCCAGGCAGGCTGTCCCATGGGGATCGTGCATGGGGTCTCCCTACACACCTAGAGATCCTGTGCACTCTGGGGTGTGTCGCGGAGACCCCGTGCAAGCAATGTCTTGGTTTGGGTTAGGGACTAACCAGAATTGGAGTCAGGCAGGCCCTAGGACCTGGGGGTGAGGCAGGGCTGTCTACCTGAAAGGTGAGCCTAGCAGGCTGTGCCACCCATGGCAGAAAGTGGGTGAGAGGCAGGGAGTTGTGCTGGCCCGCAGGGACTGTACCACTCAGGAGAAGTGTAGACCACCTGCTGCAGGCGGGAAGCCTTTGGGGAAGCAGAGGAGCTTTACACCTTGGTCACAGGCAGGTGGAACCCCTATGAGATGTGGAGATTGTACTGCTCTACCTGCCTCATGCACGGAGAGTTTGTGAAGATGAAGACTGGACAACATCCCCAGTGGGGAGGGAAGGCAAAACTAGACCAAACTGGATAGAATCACTGAAGAGGGGGAGGGTAATGGACTATGCCATCTGGAAAGGGGGCTAGCCTTGAAGGAGATTGTCCTCTTGAAGTGGGTGTGGTTTGGGTGGGCTCTACCATCTGGAGACGACATCACATCTGCTTTGGAGGCTGTGTCACTTGGGGAAGGCCGTGCAGTGCCATCTGGAAAGGGGGAGATGAGACCACTTAAAGGGGGAGGACTGTATCATTTCAAGGAGTGGATCATTTTTGGGGAATAGTGGGTGGGAGAACTGTACTTCCAGCGGTGACACTGGGATTTGACAATGTACAAGAGGGAAGTGGGGGCCATTGGCCCCGCCTGGGGTGTAGGTGACCCAGCCAGATGCACCCCAATGTCCTCGAATGTTCGAGACGGCCAGTCCCAGCATCTGCCTCCAGCTCTGGCTCTCATCCCCAGACCCGGGCACACGTAACTTTTCAGATGACATCCCCCTGCCAGAATAGGAGCCAAATCCTGGGGCCTGTCCCTGTCCCCAGCGTGGCCTGTGTTCCTGGGTCTCCTGAGCTGGGTCCTCACTATCCCACTGTGGCATGTTTCAGACGTGGAACAGAGTATGGGGCTGATGCACAACGGGGCGGTGTATGCGCTCTGGGACTACAGCGCTGAGTTCGGGGATGAGCTGTCCTTCCGCGAGGGCGAGTCGGTCACCGTGCTGCGGAGGGACGGCCCGGAGGAGACCGACTGGTGGTGGGCTGCGCTGCACGGCCAGGAGGGCTACGTGCCCCGTAACTACTTCGGAGTGAGTCCAGGGGAGACATCATGGAACCCTCCAGACCAGACTTTGGGGAGGAGGGTGATCCCGCAAGAAAAAAAGAGGGAGCCGAGAGGGACAGACCATTGCGTTGAGCGAGGGAGGTCAGAAAACCCCATTATTGGTCGTGGGGAGGAGAAGTCCATTAAAGTAACAGCGGGCGGAGGAAGCCCTGCTAAGGGAGCATCCCTTTTAGTTAGGAAAGGAGAGCTGGCAACTCGTGGGGTACTCATCCCTACTGCCTTCCTGGTTATTTGATTGGTTCGACAAAAGGAGAGATTAAGTGAATAATCAGGCCAACTCAGGCCTGTAATCCCAGCACTTGGGGAGGCTGAGGTGGAAGGATGGCTTGAGGCCAGGAATTCAAGACCAGACTGGGCAACATGGTGAAACTTTGTCTCTAAGAAAAAAGAATCGAGTATTATCGGCATGGTGGAGAGGAAACTTTTATTACACTGCGTTGGGCAGAGTGAGGAAGAATCCATTAATAAAATTATAATAGAAGAAGGCTGGGCACAGTTGCTCAAAACTGTAATCCCAGCACTTTGGGAGGCTGAGGTGAGAGGATTGTCTGAGCCCAGGGGTTTGAGACCAACCTGGGCAACTTGGCAAGAAAAAAAAATTATAGTAGAACAGGAAATTTCTAATAGAGTTGGGGGAGGAGACCAGGAAAGTTCCATCAGCTTCCTGGAAGAGACAGTTTTGTTGTTTTGTTTTTTTTTTTTTGAGTTGGAGTCTCACTCTGTCACCCAGGCTGGAGTGCTGTGGCATGCTCACGGCCACCACAGCCTCGACCTGCTGGGCTCAGGCAATCCTTTCTCCTCAGCCTTCCAAGTAGCTGGAACTACAGGTGTGCACTACCATGCCTGACTTATTTTTTTATTCGTTGTAGAGACGAGGTCTCACCAAGTTGCCCAGGCTGGTCTCGAGCCCCTGAGTTTAGACAATCCTCTTGCCTCAGCTTCCCAAAGTGCTGGGATTACAGGCTTGAGCCACCACACCCAGACCAAAGATTTTTTTTTAATGTGGAGGTAGGACCCAACCAGACAGCCATGATGCTAGAGAGAGGCAGGTGTGCCCCTGAATGGCAGTAGGAGAGACTCAGAATATCCCCATTCGTCAATGGGAGCTTCTGATTGAAAGGCTCCATCCAGTCCTTGGAGGTGATGAGGGACTCTGGGATTCTGGAGTCCTTTCGGTGATCCCACGGGAAGATGCCATTAGGGATGGGAGAAGGAAGGCAGACCATGGATTTGGATGTGGGAGGATGGGCTGGAGCTCCTAGTGTCTGTCTGAAGATTTTGTCTCCCCTCAGCTCTTCCCCAGGGTGAAGCCTCAAAGGAATAAAGTCTAGCAGAATAAAAGGACATTCCCGAGGAAGACGGGAGCCAGCAGCCCTGCCTTCACCGGGACCTTCCCATCGTCTCCTGCTGGCTCTTTACCTGTGCCCCTAGTCCTGTGGAGTGTGGTCCTCACCACCGGCTCTCTGCTCTCCTGGAAGCCCAGGGAAGAAGGAGAACCCCAGCCTCCAGTTTAGGGATCTGCCTTTGCCTTGGGAGGCCCCGGGTGGGGCTGGGGATTATTGGGAGCGGGAGCCCCCCTTTTGCCAAATCAGATCCCGTCCAAAGTGCCTCCCGCTCCTTCCACCCCTCCCCCACAGCAAACCGGCCCGCCCCCTCCCAGCTGAGCCTGGATGGGTGACCACTGCTTGAATTCCCTGGGAGTCAGCTCTGATCCAGTCTCTCCCAGCAGCCTCCGGGTCCAGTGAGGCATATGGGCCTCTACCAGGATGTCAGCCTTACTTCTCCCCAATCAAGTGCCTTCACACAGTACCGGTTTTGTGTTTATAACAAAGTGGGGACGTTTTTCTTTATAAATAAAGGTAGTTTGCACAGAAATCAACCTTCTTTTCTTTTGATTCCATTCTGACTTAATAAATTCTTCTCGGCCGGGCTCAGTGGGTCAGCCTGTAATCCCAGCACTTTGGGAGGCTGAGGTGAGTGGATTACCTGAGCCCGTGGGTTTGAGAACCGCCTGGGCAACTTGGCGAGACCTCATCTCTACAATAAATCAAAAATTAGCTGGGCATTGTAGCACGTGCCTGTAGTTCCAGTTACTTAGAGGGCTGAGGTGGAAGGATCTCCAGAGTCTAGCAGGTCAAGACTGTGGTGACCGGAAGCAGCCACTGCACTCCAGTTTGGGTGACAGCGTGAAACTCCAACTCAAATAAATAAATAAATTCTCCTCGTTGTAGGTGTTTTTATTTTCTTTTGAGTCAGAGACTCACTCTGTTGCCCAGGCTGAAGTGCACTGGCAAGATCATAGCCCACCACAGCCTCGACCTTCTGGGCTCAGGTGATCCTTTCACTTCAGCCTCCTGAGTA